GCAGAGCTATACCTAAGTCTGCTTGCCTCTTGATGTCCTCTACCCTTTGACGCAAGGTTTGTTTTGCTTGGTCGTAGTCCAGTTTGAGAATTGAGACTGATGAGAAGCCTAGTTTGGCAAGGTTGGACTCAACTGCCTTGATCCATGAAGAGGAGAATTTATCTTGAAGAATTAATGGAGCAAGGCATTGCGGAAAGCAATTAAGCCCTAGCCAGATATTTAAGGAAGCTATACAGATTCTTGCTTCGACTTTTATCAATCCTGGCTCCAGGCGCAGAAGTGCATTTGGGACACAGCGCGGCATCTGGAGAATTGTTCTGATAAATTTGGATTGAACTCTTTCCAGTGGTGTAAAACATAAAGCTGAGGGTCTGAGCAAGGTCCCGTAGAGAAGTTGTGCTAGTGACTTAGTTAGAAAGAGCTTAATTGCAGCTGGAACATAGTGTCCTCCCTTTGTGCAGAAAAAATTAAGAATGGCATTTGCTGATCATTGGCCAGAGGCAGCCAGGTATTCTCCATGGGCTTTTTGTGAGCCAGTTCAAGTTCTCCATAGGGGCATTTGTTGGGGGATAGTTATAATAATTATTATTTGATGCATTAGATTGAGTAGTTGTCCATTTCCGTTGGCTTCTTATAACATTTTCAATTTAAATCTGGCTTTCTTTCCTTACCAGATAAATTTTTGAAGTAGAGACTTTAAATCTTAAAAGAATTTTTTCTCCAGTTTTATGGGTATCATTTGAAACAAAAATAGTATTTTTGGTAATATATTCATTTTCACCCTAGCAATTCTTCCTAACATCGACAATTGCAGATTCTTCCATTTTCCAAATCAAGCTTTATTTGATTTAACAATTTAATATAGTTATCTTCTTTTATTATTGAACATCTTGCTGTCAGATATATTCCCAAGTATTTGACCTTTTTGACTGTTTGCATTTCTATTTTTTCTGATAATTGCTTTTTTTGTTTATCTGTGAGATTTTTAATTATCACTTTAGTTTTTTCTCTATCTTTAATCCTGCTATCTCTCCAAATTGTTCTATCTTTTCCAACAGTTTAGGAATCATCTCTAAAGATTCCTCTAGAATGAATACCAAATCATTTGCAAATGCTTGCAGTTCGTAGGTTTCACCTTTTATTTTCAATCTTTTAATTTCTGGATCTTGCCTAATGTTTCTGTTTAAAACTTCTGTTTCTGTTTAAAAGTTAAGATAAATAGCAGTGGGGATAATGGACATCCTTGTCTTGTGCCTTTTCGTATATCAACATTCTCTGTATAATTACTATTTCTTTATCTTTATATTGTAATGGGTCATTTCTGACTCTTCTTAATATCTCATCCCTTGCTGTTTTTTTCATAAATCTTACGTGGACTTCTCTGGGCAATTTGTGTTTCCTCGCATAACTCGAATTCATTCTAAATATTTTATCCACTTTTTGCTGCATCTCCAATCTTTCAATTTTTAGGGCCTCTGCTAATAGATTAATAATCACTTCTGCTATATCTTCCTCTTTAATCTTTGGGTATGTTCTGAAATCTCAAATAGTGTTCAGCTTTCTCCATTTCCAAAATACTCTTTTCATTTCAAAAAATACCTATAAGACTGGGAAAAACCTTTTTTGATGAACTAAATACAATACTGAAATTTATCTGGCAAGGAAAAAAAGCTAGAATTAGACTGAAAATGCTACAGGAAGCGAAAGAAAATGGAGGACTTGGACTGCCAGACTGGACGCTATACTACCAAGCAACTATATTAACATGGCTAAAAGAGTGGATAATGCTTAGTGGTAAAAGACTATTATACTTAGAAGGGCATGACCTACAACTTGGATGGCATGCCTTTCTGTGTCTGGGAAGAATAAAATACATAGATGCTTTCAAAACCACTTTGTAAGAATGGGAATGGGAAAAAATAAAAGCGAAAATTTATATTAAAATACCTGGATGGCTTTCAACAATGGAAGCATTTGCTTACCCATATTTAATCAACTATGAGAAAGTTGTGACCTATAAAGATATTTTGGACAATGAAGGGAAATTGAAAGTCAGACAAGATTTACAAGAACAAGGTATTGATCTATCATGGTGGCCATACTTGCAAATTCAAACGAGATATGAAAAAGATGCTAAAAGAACAGGATTTTATAAAGCACAAACAGAATTTGACCAGATACTGCCAAAAACAGATGAAAAATTGATTGGAAGAGAAACAAGTAAAAGAAGCAATGATAACATGGGCAAAGAATTTTGGACATAATATAGAATTAGAAAGCTGGCAAAGATTATGGGAAAGAAATGCTAAATTAACGAAAGCAGTGGCTTACAAAGAAAACTTATATAAAATGTTTTACAGAGAGCATCTAACACCGGTGAGATTAGCGAAAATGTTCAAAAATACATCAAACAAGTGTTGGAAATGTAAACAAAAACCAGGTACTTATTATCATATCTGGTGGACATGCCCTTAAAGCTAAAAGATTTTGGTCAAAAATACACGTGGTTGGAAAAAATGACTAAAAAACATATAACTTTCAAGCCAGAATTGTTTCTGTTAGGCCTAATAGGAGGAAACTACGAGAAAGATTGTATATATCTAATTTTATATGTATTAACTGCAGCAAGAATTGTATTTGCCCAATATTGAAAAAATGAAAACTTACCAACAGAAGAACTAATTAAGAAAATTTTAGATTGTGCAGAAATGGACAGATTGACATTAAAGATAAAAGAGAAAGAAGATCCAGTATACTTTAGAACATGGGACAATTTTTACCAATGGCTAGAAAAGCGAGTTAGAGAGAATGGAACATGATATGTACTATCATTGAATATATACTAGTAAGAAGAAGATTATTGAGCAATTAATTAATATATTAATTATGATAATATAGAAATTAACTCTTACTGTTTTTTAAATACATGAACCCAGACAATATGCTGTTTGCTAAATATTAAAAATATTATTTTTTTAAAAAACCTAATCCTAACCTCAATCCTAACCCTAACCCTAACATTACAAAATTAATAAAATATTTATTAAAAAAAGAAATAAGATGTACATCATATGCTCAAATTTTAGTTTAATCTATTACCTGATGTTTTTGATTTTATTGCATTTCAAAATTACTATTATTTGTTTTTTATTGGATATCATTTAAATTAAGATACTCGTGAGAAACCTAACTGAAATCAATGAAATAATTAGCGTGACAATTTTTTCCCATTTTTCAGTTGGACTTATCTATGATTAACTTAATTAAATTTGATGATGGCAATGAGTTTTGAAAACCATTTTCTTAAGAAAGTCACATGTAAACATTATCAGCTAATACATTCAAAACACTATATATATTCTGTTGTTTCTGTTTAGAAATGGGCTCTAAAGTCTTGGTGCACAAATTATCATTCCCAAAATTGGGTTTGGTTGATTTTTAAAAGAAGAGAATTACAGTTCTATACAGCTTTAAATACTATTAAATATGCCATTCTTCTGTATTTGGTCTGTAGGTTGCAAGCTGGGGATACAGGGTCACAATAATTCTGTTTTGTAGGTTTCCTTTCTATAATTTTTTTTCAATTTCTTGCAAAGCTATGTGGGTGATCATTAGGAGATTAGGAATAAAATTAATTCATATACTAATGAATGCTAACTTTGTTTCTCTGTATCAGATAAGACAAGAGGTATTGAGCTGATATTACAGTCTAATAATGAGACTCTCAAGGATTCTCTTGGAATTTACTGTGCAGCAATCTAGGAAATGAGATTCACAAATAGAAACATCCTGAAAGTGGAATTACCACTGTATTCAGTTTGAATTGATTGTAAGCTTTCTACATAGCTAAAGATACATGGATTTACCCAAATCTGCCATTAATTTGTGCTTCTGCTTTACTTTTAAGTATCTGGTTACCTTGTCCTGTTTTATGAGTTTTTAAACTGGTCTTGTGGTTTTAAACATGCTGCTATTTTTAATATATTAAAATAGTGTAATGTTTGCATTTGTTGAATCTCAATTCATTTTACCAATAAAAAGAAAGATGGAGGCAAGTAAATATTATTTAATGCTAATGTTATTTTCATTACTTTAATTCTTAAAAATACAAGCCTGGCCTATTGCATATACTGATAAGCATACTTGCTATTTATTTATTCATTTAAATGTCTAGGTATTTTATCCCAACCAAAATAGCTATTCTTATGTGACAGCATTAGAATTTCCTGTCCGTTTTTTCAAAATCATTCTTGAGATTGTGGTGCCACAATTCATATTGGTGTGACAGGAGCAAAATAATGTTGTAGTAAGTAGAAAAACTATTATCCTGCCCATTGCATACTATTGCATACTATGATATACTGCATTTAGATGGACTAAGTAATCAAATATTCGTTTGAATCCTTTGTTCACTCCCAGTTATCATTTGATATTTATCATATCAGTACAGCAGCTCATGAAGGTTCATAATATGCTGAGTCAGTCAGAAGAAATATAAAACTAAATTAAGATTTGTCCCATTACTTGCAAAGTGATACTGAACTTGTGGCTCTCCAAGTATTGCTGAACTACAGCTCTTAATACTTCCATGTAGCATGGCCAGAATGAAGAATGCTTGAGGTAGTTGTTCACCAAAATTTAGAGAATCATATTTCTTGTCCTTGTCCCAGTGTTCATAAAAACTAATAACGCTCATGTAATATGGAAGTAATGGCCTAATTGGTGTTGGAATTTCCAACTTCAAGCAATGTGGCCATTAGGCAAAACATCACTTCACTTAGGACAACAGTTTTGGTAGTCCAGGTTGAGTTGTTAGGCCAGGACAATAGTGCTGTTAGGTGAGGATCTCATGCTTCTCCTGCCCTGCTGTGCTCACTTTTACCTCAAGTCCTCTCACCTTTGTTCTTGGCCTCAGAGATATGTAGGTATATAATTGTATGCATGTAAAATACTGCAATGTGAGTATACAGTAAACAACACTTTTTTTTAAATCCACATAGCATATAAACAATGATCACATACATGGGGAGAAGAAGGAATTTGTATGTCGATGGCTTGATTGTTCTCGAGAGCAGAAACCATTCAAGGCCCAGTACATGCTAGTTGTACATATGAGGAGACACACAGGAGAAAAGCCACACAAATGCACTGTGAGTAAACACTGTTATAATAAACCAGGAGGCGCTTCTTGGTTTGCTTTCTTCTTTGCTTCCTACTATTTGAATGCAGTTTGGTCACATTAAAATTTACTTAAAATATTCTGCAGAAAGTAATGTTTGTACACTGCTGGAGTTTCTTCTTATTCGTAAATTATCTACATTTGTCAATGACATTGACTTCATTTGCTAGAGAGCATACTGTGAACAATATGCAAAAAGTCTTTCAAAGTGGACACAGTTGAACTGGGATTAAAAATGAAACAATGGGTATTGTAATGCAATTATATAACTCTGCCCCAAACCTATTATCCCATTTTGAAAAAAATAGAGCGAGAAAACAGGAAAGAAATGGAACATCTTCTCTATGAAGATTTGAATTTCAAATCAGAATATGTTCCAATTAATTACACTTTATAAACATCTTGAATATGCCATTTTTATGAATCAGCCCTACAAAAATATAACAACAGAGTCCATCTTCAGCCAGGCAGATATTTTATGAAACAGGGTATTAAGGCAATAGGCTGTTTTAAGTAATTGGATTTCAAGATATATAGAATTCAACCAGTTATTAGGATTAATAGCTTTGAAAAGTAATCTTCTACAAGTAATCTTCTTTTTTTTAAAAAAAATGGGTAGGTTAGTAAAGTCTTCACATGTAGTCCCCACATCTTATAATATTGAATGTTATAAGAATTTTCACTTGATGAGCTTTCCACAGTCAAGAATGGTTACAAATTTTGGGACCTGCAGCCCCCAAACATCTGGAGATACCTGGTTAGGATTAGGCTTTACTAGTCCCTTTTTAAAATCACTATATCTAGAAACTTGGCCTGAATTATATCCAAGTTTGTGCATGCTGTCTCTTTTTGTGAGATAGTTAGACTGGCACACTGATCATGAAATCCTAGGTCTTTTTTTGTCTATTACTTGGTAAACATGCATAGGCTTGCAATCTTGCCAGTGCCTTATAATGTAAAATAATTGTTATTTTTTTGTGTAAAAGCATCGTTTTTTAAAAGAAGAAGAAAATCTAGAACATATTGCTACTATGGCTAAATCTTGAAAGCTGTGTTGCCTTTGATGTGGGGTATTTTACTGTATTATTTCTTTTTCCACACTTCACCTTCTATAAAAAAATGTTTAGAATAATATAATAGTACATTTTGCCCTTAGTTTGAAGGCTGTATGAAGGCCTACTCCAGGCTAGAAAACTTGAAAACCCACTTGAGATCTCACACTGGAGAGAAACCATATGTTTGTGAACATGAGGGTTGTAACAAAGCATTTTCAAATGCATCTGATCGTGCCAAACATCAAAACAGAACTCATTCTAATGAGGTAAGAAGACACATGGTTTGTATAATTCTCTAACAATGCATAAGTGTAGTGCTATCAAAAATATTTATTGTAAAACATTTATTTATGGTTCAACTATATCAGCGGTTCTCAACCTGTGGGTCACGACCCCTTTGGGGGTCAAACGACCCTTTCATAGGGGTCGCCTAAGACCATCGGAAAACACATATTTCCAATGGTCTTAGGAACCAAGACACCGCTCCTCTATCCATCTCCGCACAGCTTCGAGCTGGGGGCCGTTACAGCATCAGATTCGTTTCCGTCGAGCATCTCCTAAGGAGGCTGCGCTGCTTCGCGGCCCTTTCTGCGAAGGCTGAACTAAGCTCTGCCGGTGCTGTCACCCTCTTGGGTCTCTCTCTCTCTTTCTCTCTCCCTCCCTCCCTCCCTCTCCACGCCTGGGCGCTTCTCCAACCAGGCTGGGCAGAGCTGGTGGAGCAGCCTTCCTGCCCTCCCTCCCCGGCCAGCTGGAGCTGGGCAGGCCAGCGACCTTCGGAAGTGAGGCGAGGACAGGCAAGGCGCGCTGAGCCCCAGGTGCGGCGGGTGAGTGGGTGGCGTCGGTGCATGCTTGGAGAGCCCTTAGGGTTGGGGGTCACCACAACATGAGGAACTGAATTAAAGGGTTGCGGCATTAGGAAGGTCGAGAACATAAAGACATGAAACTCCAGAAAAATGATGATTCAGAAGCAAGTAATTGGTTCTAGAATCCAAGTTTTCTTTGGGGACATAAGGAATAACTTTAATTCTGCAACATCCAAATAAAATCCTGTTTGACTCATGAGATAGATCCAAACAATATACTCTCTGATAGTTTTATAAGGAAGATTTTGTCACGTTTTAATGAGTGACCTCTAACTCAGCCAAAAATATAAACATTTGTTTAACTCAGCCAATGCTAGCCAGATTTTCCCTGAAATGTGCCTGATGGCTTCTGTATTTAGTCATTCATTTGATTATTGGTTCCTTCTCTCTCTCTCTCACTCCAGTTGGAAGTATGGCATGCTTGCTATAAAAAAACACAGATACTGTACATAATCTGCAGGTGCATCACTCCTGATAATTGATCTCATTACCCACTTTTCATCTTCTTTTGCTTTTGGTTAGTGATTACACACATAAAAAATATGTGTCTTCTTGCCACAACAAGTACATGAAGCAGTAACAAATACTATACAAGCATTTCTTGGATGCACAACTCTTTCTTTTCTGTTTGGAGACTGTTTTTTAATATATTAAAAAGACAATATGGGTAGAATCCTGAGCCAACTATGAATAAAGTTTCTAATAAAATAAGGACAAAATGGGATCCAGGATCTCTAGTGTTAATTAATTTCTTTTTTAATAGTAGTGAACGTATTAAAATCAAGACTATTTCATATTAAATGTTCCTATGAATAATAATATTCCTATTGGCCAAGTTACTCCAATTCATATAAATGATACAAAGCCAGCTAGCAATTTTCTGAAAGGGGAAATAGGTATTAATGAAAAAGGACTACTGTGCTTGAGCTTAACAACCAAATCCTAGTTCAAATTTTCTCATGACTGGAGATTCTACCACATTACTTCTTTTGGTCACTCTCAGCTCAATTTGTGTAATAGGGTTGTTATTATTCTCAGAAGCAGGACAGAATATTCCATCCAATTAATTAAGGCAGTATACCCAAACCCAAACCAATGGTAGCACTTTTTCCATTTATAGAAACCCTATGTCTGCAAAATACCAGGCTGCACAAAGCGCTATACAGACCCAAGTTCTCTCCGAAAACATGTAAAAACTGTGCATGGTCCTGAAGCACATGTCACCAAGAAGCAACGTGGAGATATCCATCCAAGACATCCACCACCAAGAGATCAAGGCAGATCCCCAGGCCACCTGTCTCAAGGTGCAATTGGTGAGCAAAAGGACCTCAGCAACACTACCTCAATGCGTGAAGAATGCCTCGAAGTTAAAGCTGTTAAGCCAGAGAAGCCAGTGGTAAGCTTCTATTTCTTTTTATTTCTTAGATATAAAAGTGTACATTGTTCATTAATATTATTACAGCATGATTACATTTGGTTCTTTTTTAGAATATCTGTTTATAATAATAAGGAAGTTATTGTATTGTACAATCTATATAGTTCAGAGGAACTCATCAAACAGACAACAGCAAACTATTTAATGGCTTTTCACATAATTTGTATACTCAAATTTGTATTTGCTTGTCCTAGTCATAGATGTGATGGGAGTGACAGCCGAGTGCTATTTGAGGTCTAGTCTTGAATGGACTTGTGTATCTGCAATATTCTAACACCACTTAAATGTTAAAAATTAGTGGTAATATACAATGTATGATGCTAAGATTATGAAAGCTTATTTATATTTGAATGATTGTAATGACCATCTTCCATAATAGCTTTCTTGACAAAATGCCTTGTTATCAAGCCTAACCAAGTGTATCCCAGTAAATGCATGATAATGTAAATCTGCCTAAATTGCACTGCATTGGCTTGGAAATTTAGATCTGTCACTGAACCTTTCAGACAAGTTTATCTGTTTAATTCACAATCCTGTAGGACTCTTTCTTGTGAAAAGCTCCTCAATATTATTGGAATTATACAGAACTTTTCCCAAGAATATACTTACCATTCTAAAATTAGTTTCTATCTATTAATAGAAGAAACTACAGTACCCATATACTCTGAACCCGAAGTTGTGGCTTCAGAGGATACCATTATATCAATATTCCATTGCAAAACCATGGAATTTTAGGAAAAGCAAATATTACAGGAAAGGGGGGAAAATCAAATAGTGGCCATACAGATACATTATTTATTGTGTACTTTGCAACTATTGATTGCTAATTTAAATGTAAAAATATTTTATGAAGTTTTATTATAAATTCTAGTCAATTACAAATATAATTTAAAATCATAAAGGAATATTTTCCTCATAAGTAAGAATGAAATTAGTCTTAATTTGTTTATGAGTAACACTTCTATTAGAAATAGAAGCTTTCATGATATAATATCTCCCCATTAGCCCTATTAAATAATATGTTTTTGAAAGACAAATGTGATCAAGTTATATGTAATTGTAGATTACATACTACTCTAGATACCTACTATAACTATACACAATATTTTTCATGATAAGTCACCCTATCCTAGAAATCTATGCAAATTCTTATACTTACAATAATGTTCTGTGTTAAGATAGCCTTTCTTATCAATGGAGAGTGGGAAAAATATATTTTTCTCATTTTGACTTGAATGGATGGCCAGTCCTATATGGAAAAACTCTTTTCTTTTGTCTTCAAATCCGATGCTGAATCAGAAATTGGCCCTGATGGACTGAATGTTAATGTAGAAGTATTTAAGGTGTACTAAAAATATTTCCTAGTAAAGTTAATATTCCAGGATCTAAATACCTTAGAGAGTGAAGAGGCAAAATTGACTATTTCAGGAATAACATCAAATATACTTTGATGTAACATTGGCACTAAAATAATTGATTTGTGTGTGTATTGTATAATCAAATGTCTTACTACTTTCGTTTTACTAATCCAATGTTTCTTCTGCCTAATGCTTTTAATGCCATATTCTATCTTCTTAAGGACAGTGGGTAATAAGGTGAGGGAATTTTAATTTCTCCACATTATTTTCATTGCGGTTAAAAATTCATTTACTTGCTACTTGAAACCATTTCATTAATTGTATTCACAACTGTTATAAAAACATATTTCATAACAAATGGCATGCTACCCAGTTAGCTTATGGAAATCAGTTTTATATGGAAATGTAGATATTTACCTATACATATGTGATCATTTTCTAGTTGCTACTGTTGTGAAGAATTTTCCAGATATAAGAACAGACTTCTGACCCTCAGATTTATTCATTCAACTAGCATTCAGCTGTAGCCATTCCAGTGACATTTCATGTTGAACTAAGTAATTTAAAACATGCTACTTAAATCTGAACCAAATGCATATAACACAATATATTTGGCAGAATAGTTTGATGTTGCTACTAGTTAATATTGAAAGTTCTTGCTTGCTTATCGCAGATGATGCAGGGATCATATTGTTAAAGCATTTGACAATCCAGATTTTATTCCAAAACAAATTAGTCTTAATTAGGATCAGGGTTTTTTTTTGTCATAGAACGCCCAGAATAGAGTTCCGGCACCTTTTTGGGATGGAACCTTGTAGGGTAGTCAAGGCGGGTTGTATGATGTGTGTGAGTTCCGGCACCTTTTTTTTCTACAAAAAAAGCACTGATTAGGATTGTATGAATATTGATTGCTGCATCCCTAAAGCTATGACAACTAAAGTTCTAAATATTTTAATTTTTCATTTCTAATTTTCGAAGATGATGAAGATGATACTGTTAGTATCTACAGCTGCAGAAGTAGTTTTCTAAATGTTTGATTATCTGAAACATTTCAGAGCAGAAAATGGAGAAAATCTCTCTCTCTAAATGTATTGGGAATTGATTTAAAATACAAATGTATACATGTTTGTTATGTGACAACAGTGAGATCAGTAGAATATAACTCCCATATAAATGACTATAGAAAAGCAGCCATAGCATGTTGACTTGGCATATACAATGAACTCTGAACTCACTGTTAGCCAAAAAAAAAAAAGTCAATATGCTATATACAAATTATTTATATTAAGCAATTCAGAGCTGTATTTGGAATTATGTTATTATTCAGTTTTATAGACAGGTCTTATTTTGCTTCAAAAATATGGGAATTGAATCCTCTGGCACCTTCAAAAATACTTTTCTTTCATTTTATCAGATGAATGAAGTTGATGAGAAGAAGGAAGTGTAGAAAAGTTTAAATTTTTGGTACTAGGAGCAAAAAGAAAAAATGCATTAGGAATATCAGATATTTTACTTACAAATACTTGTCCTTATTAAAAGTTTCTACAAAAATTTGGAGCATTCCTTAACTTGCAGGAAATCCATTATTCTGTGAGTTTTATTTTCCTGAGAAAGGACTATTGTTCGCATAGATAGTTTTTTCCTTTTTTCTTTTTTGTAAGAGGAAGGAATAAGGTTTCTTGGACATTATTTGCCCCTCTCTAAAACCATCAAACTACAATAGTCTGTACTACAAAACTAAAAGTTACAATTTCAAAATTGTAAACTGGAGAAACTGTACACTTATGACAATGTACTACTGTAGATATTATAAACAATATATGGAGTACTTGCTAGTGAAAAATATATCTGGCTAATTCCCATTTTTTTTTAAAAAAACCTCTGCTATTTAGGTTTTACAAATCAGTGGCTTTAGAACAATTTTTCTATTAATCAACAGCATCCTTAATTTGGGAAATAGATTCTTAACATACTGTAGTTGACTAGCAATAAAGTATTGTTGAATCTCTTCAGAAGTGTTTCAAGTAGTTTTTACCTGACAGAAGTGGAAAAATTTATATGAATGACTATTCTTTTTCTGACACCAACTTTTGTTTTCCTCCAGACATCTCAGCCAAGCCCTGGTGGTCAGTCTACATGCAGCAGCAAACAGTCCTCCATCAGCAACTATGCCAACAATGGGATCGAGCTTAATCTGACCAATAGAGGTAGTGTAGGAGACCTCAGCATTATTGATGAAACCCCTATCATGGATTCTACCATTTCTACAGCAACCACAGGTCTTGGTTTACAGACCAGGAGAAATATGACAGAGACCAAGTGGATGGAACAAGTCAAGCTAGAAAAGTTAAAGCAAATCAATGGAGTGCTTCCAAGACTGAACCCCATGCCATCTTCCAAAGCCCCAGCTTTGCCACCTCTCATAGGAAATGGTAAGATGTGTTTATTTAATATAATTATTTGAATGTATCACCTGGGTGTTTGAGATTTCATTCTTTAAGAGAGAAAGTAAAAATAATATATTTGAACTTAGCACTGCAAAAAGTCCTCTTAATAATGGGAATATTAGTCTTAAAATAGAAAAAATAATTTAAATAATAGCAGAGCAATTTGCCCTATATAGTTATTTGTCATAGTTTGATTTCAACAAACATAGAAAGAGTTTGGCAAGGATTCCATTGATAAAAATCCTAAAGGGAAAAACAACTCAAGAAGCTTAGGAAACTCTGGAAACAGAGATTATAAAGGCTCAATCTAGCACAATACCACTAAAAAAGAAAAATAAGAGACCGGACGAAACCATGGTTGCATAAAGAACTCTCTGATAAATTGAAAGACAAAAAGGACAAGTATAAAAAATGGAAAGGGATACATAAATAAAGCAAAATATCAGCAAATAGCTTGAATCTGCAAAGATGAAATCAGGAAAGGTAAGACCCAAAATAAAATAAGACTTGCAGCAAATGTAAAAAATAATTTTAAAAAGTTTCTTTCAATATGTTAAAAAAAATAATTAAGGAAACTATCAGTCCACTAATGCAGGGCTTTTCAACCTTTTCACCCATTGTACCACTTTTAGGATATGGCAATCTCCAAGTACCACCAGTCACCTAGCAAAGTGTCAAAAACTTGATGACCCCCCCCCAAAAAAAGGAAAAAGATGATAAAGTACAGGTAGTCCTCGACTTACAACAGTTCGCTTAGTGACTGTTCAAAGTTACAATGGCACTGTAAAAGTGCCCCCCAAGCCACAGCTGAGCAAGACACCTGCCTGCCCACCCGGCAGCGATCTTCCTCCTGTCCGAGGTTTTCATTGTTGTGAGCATTTCTGTTGAGGATTGGCAGCAGGGGTGGGGGGCGTTTGGTTTTTATTCCCCCCCATCTGCTGGGTGGTTGCAGCAGGTTTTGGTCACATGACCCTGGGACACTGTGACCGTCATAAATATGAATCAGTTGCCAAGCATCTGAATGTAAATCACAAGACCCTGGAGATGCTGCAACATTCCAGCTGATCGGCGCTTCTTCTGGGCTCAGCAGAAGCACCAGGATCAGTGTTGCTTTCCAGCTGATGGGTGCTTCTTCAGGGCTCAGCAGAAGCACCAGGATGGAGCCTGGTGCTGATCCTGGCGCTTCCCCTGAGCCCTGACAGCCCCAAAGAAGCGCCAATCAACTTGAAAGCGGCACTGATCCTGGCACTTCCGCTGAGCCCTGACAGCCCTGCAACTCCAGCCATCTCTCGCTCAGGCTTGTGCGGTGCTGCCACCGGTTCAGCCCATTCCCCTCCCCCACTACCACTTTTCTAAGATGGTCGCATACCACCTTCCAGGTGCCAATGTACCACAGGTGGTACCCATACCACTGGTTGAAAAGCCCTGCCACTAATGTAGGAAGATGGGAAGAAAGTAACAGGTAGCAGAGAGAAAGCAGAACTGCCTAATTCATCCTTTGGATCTATCTTTACAAAAAAGGAAAAATTACTCCAACCCTAACAAAAGCAGGACCATAAAAAAGTATTAGGAATATAAATCAAAATAGGTAAGAAGGCAAAATAGATAAGACAACCCCTATCGGTCTAGGCTAATTTGAATCACCAGGACCAGATGCATTACATCCCAAGATTCTGAAGGAGCTGCAGGCATGATTTCTGAGGCATTTCACCATATCTTTCAAAAATCCTGAAGCACCGGAAACTACCAGAGGACTGGAAAAGAGCTAATGAGGTTCCAATCTTCAAAAAAATGGATCCATAAAATTATAGACCAATCAGTCTGATGTCAGTACCTGGGAAGATCTTGGAAAAGATAATCAAACAACAGTTCTGGGAACACCTAGAAACAAGCAGACACCAACATGGGTTTGTCAAAAACAGATCATGCCAGGCAAACCGTATTGCATTCAAGTAACTAAATTAGTGGATCAATATAAGTTTGATTAAATCCATTTTAATTTTTAATTTTTTACTGCTCTCATAATTTCCAATTTAAATATCATCTACAATTTAAAAAAGAAATATTTGTAATATGGAGAAAGAGCTAAAAGAATAATTTTATTTTTTTTTACTTGGTATGAAACAGGGCAGTAAAGGCCAACTGCAAGATACATATGACTTCCAGCATTTTATGTGTCCATTTTTAACTTTTTTTTTGTGGGGGTGAGAACTATACTGAATTCAGATTTTTCCATGTGACAAACAGGTACCATCAATTGGCTGCTAGAAAGGAGTGCTACGTATAGATTTCAATATCAATTTTTTGACCAGTTGCAGTTCAGTGAGAAGCATCCTTGATGGCTTCTTCTTAATATACTGTACTTACATGTGGAAGCATAGCAATACTCATTGAGATTGATTTACTTGTTACCAAAAGAAAAATGATCTAATCATAAGTTAACACCACATAAAAAATAAGGTGCAATTATGTCCAGAGCAAAATTAAGTGCTTATAATATGATATGTGTAGGAGAAGGAATGGCAGAATCTGGGGGCAGAATGAAAGGACGGATTGGCCTAGAATCCCTACAAAGCCACAAGCAAAATCCAACCTCCCTCAAATGCTGTTAATCCTTGTCTAACTTTAACCAGGTGCGGACTGTTAATTGAGAAGATTCCTGTGCATCAGCTTTTAGCAATAAATCAGTTTAATTGAACTTTCACGTTTGGACCTGGTCTTTCATACCTGACATTTTATATATGACTCCTGAACAATATCTAACCGTTCTGAATGCAGCAGTCCATATAGAAACCAGTTTCAGCACTACCATGTTACACCACTGCTATAAAACTGCTTTGATTTCTAGTGTTTCCATGTGCAATTCAGGGTGCTGGTCAATATCTTTAAAGTCCTCTATGGCTTAGAGATGGATGCTTAAGATACTATTTTTCTCAAATTGTTTTTGTCTATCTAATCCAGATGGCCAAAAAATCCTTACTAAAGATTGTCCCTACTAATAGGAGGGGCAATTGAATATCCTTAGTGACATTTCCCTATCTATGATACAGTTTGCCTCCTAAGGTGAGAGTTGCCTCCCAGACTTAGAAAATGTTAGCGTTTCTGAAAGGGTTTGGGGCATTTCTCCTGATCAGTTTCTTTTCAATATTCTTTTCAGATATTCAGTCAACTAGCAGCTGCAGCATTGGAGGAAACATGACTATCTTAACCAAGAAAAATGAAGTCACAAAAACAGATATTACTATACTGAACATGCTAAACAGAAGGGATAGCAGTACTAGCACAATCAGCTCAGCCTACATGAGCAGTCGTAGGTCCTCTGGGATTTCACCTTGTTTTTCCAGTCGTAGATCCAGCGATGCTTCTCAGGGGAACAGAAGGCTTCAGAATCTCAGTGTTGCCGATTCCTATGATCCCATTTCAACTGATGCTTCAAGGCGATCCAGTGAAGTTAGCCAATGTGACAGCTTGCCTGGACTTCTCAGTCTTACTCCTACACAACAATATAGGCTGAAAGCAAAATATGCAGCAGCTATTGGTGGACCTCCACCAACACCACTTCCTAATATGGAGAGGATGAGCTTGAAAACAAGAATGGCACTATTGGGTGAATCTAGGGAATCTGGGATGTCACCCTTGCCTCCATTAAATTCTCCTCGAAGATGTAGTGATACTGGGGCCAACAGTAACAACAGAAGACATATATTGCCTCGTGATATGCTTGGGAATAGCATAAGAAGAGCTAGTGATCCTGCAAGACCAGTCTCAGATAACCTGTCTTTTCCAAGAATCCACCGTTTTAACAGTCTCAACAGCTTTAACCCTCCTGCTTTGCCTCCATACTTTGAAAAACAAAACTTCAGCCTGAAGAATTACACTTGCCCAGATGATAGTTTGTTCCAGAATTTATGTTCCTCTGGCCCGCCAAGTATTTGTGAGAATGTGGCTATGGAAGCAGCTACCACAGAAGCAGATGGTTGTTTGAATGATGAAGATCTATTACCAGATGATGTGGTCCAGTATTTGAATTCTCAGAATCAAGGTTTGTACAACCAATTGTCAAATGATGAGCTACACAGCAACAAAGATCATCACAATCCAGCAATGGAAAACAACAACAACTTTGATCAATCTCCTCCAACAAGCAACTCTCAGAAAAATGACCTACCAATTCAGTGGAATGAAGTAAGCTCAGGAAGTTCTGACTTATCTCCATCAAAATTAAAATGTAGACCACAGTCCTTAATACAGCAAACTCAAACCATAGGCCCCTATAATAACTTGGTCATTCAACAGCAGCTGCAGCAGGCACTGGAGAGAAATGGTATTACCCAACAAAATGCCTATCAGCATCTTGCAGACAACAATGTTTCTTGCAGTATAGAGCAAAATGTACTCATGAATAACAATGACACAAGTTCTTACCACTTACACTCAAATAAATCACAGCTATATAGTAATAAATTTGGCAGACAACCTGTGAACAATGGCTGTGATGTGATGAATCAAGTTGAAAAGCTGAGAAGCGATTTCATGTTAACTAGTGGAAGTCAGCGAAAGTTTGGCTATCATGTGATGCCAGATGAGCAGTCTGCCAATGCAATTAACAAGATGCAGAGCAGAAATATAGTTTTTGAGGAATACCTTTCTAATCAGTCAGAAGATGAAGTGAGCCATTGCCAAGAAGCAAGACCTTCCAATAAAATGATAGAGCAAATTATAGTTCCCTCACAAGCTAGCTGCCAAGAACTCCTGTCTCAGAATGGGACCCATCCATCAGTTCTTGCCAAAACCTACCAACTATATTCCAACCACTATGGAGACAGATGGCAAAACACTTTAAGGAACAACATGGTGAGACAATCTGGACTTCTAATGGATACAAACCAGTCACACAGGGTTACAGGTATCAAGGTAGAATCTCAAGGTCAGTTACAACAATTCTGCTCCAATGTGCAGAATTATTCTGGTCAGTTGTATGACCAAACCACAGGGTTTAATCAGCAAGCTCTGAAAGCAGAAACTTTTTCCCTTTCAGAAGCTAATTACCTAATACAAGAGGTAGCTACTGAAAGTACATCAGAGCTTCTCTCCCCAGGGGTCAATCAAGTGACAAGCACAGTTGACAGCATTGACACAAGCAGCCTTGAAGGTGTGCAAATTGATTTTGATGCTATTGTAGATGATGGTGATCATGCCAGTTTAATTTCAGGAGCCCTGAGTCCCAGTATCATTCAGAATCTATCACACAATTCTTCCCGTCTTACCACTCCTCAAGCATTTCTTACATTCCCAGTTATGCCCATAAGTACAACCAATATGGCTATTGGGGACATGAATTCTTTGTTGACCTCACTTGCAGAAGAAAGCAAGTTTCTTGCTGTTATGCAATAGACCTAAACAACTTAGGGTATGAAAAAAAATTAAATGTGATTTTTTTTGTTACTTGTCTTAAGTACTGTAACAGTCTCATCTCAGCTAAATGAGATGTGTTTCAAGTATATTCCTTTTATGGAATTAGAACTGAAAAACCCTAAAGTGTTCTAGGGAGAAACTGTCTTCCGTTTCAGCTTTGAATCAGTATTGTTACACATGCCATCCCTTCTTTTTTATTATTTTATTTTTTATATGACTTTGTTTTTTATTTTTGTAATTGCAAACCACTGTAAAAGTGTAATGTGCATGTTAGCTTATTTTTGAGGAAGATCTGATATTACAATTTATTGATACCTAAAAGAAGTCTTGAATGATTATGGCCATAACTCTTACTGTATGTAAACAATTTCTAAGGAACATTTCTGAGGGGAAATTTAAAATTCTATCCACCTCACTATAAATTTCATTGGTGAGAATTGTTGAAAGCAAAGTAAACTAATTTATGGCATGGGAGGGGAAAATTAATACTTTAAGTTGTTATTTCTTTTGCTCTATATCCCTTTTCTATATCATTTTGCCTGCTGCAGAATTTTTCAGAATTTTCATGCAAAAAGTTGGCTTGCTTTGTTGGATTTCATCAATATCATATGTAAACTAACAGCATGATTAAGATTGCAGTGGATTATATTACAGGGAGAAGATCAAAGGCAATGAACAAATTGCCATTCTGAGAATTCTGCTTATTGTTGCTTATTCTCACACTTTATTAATAAGCTTCCAAGAAACTCTAAAGTTGTCTAGAACCCAAGGTAGAAATCATTGGTCTAGGCTGAGAAAACAGCAAAAATTAAACCTGAAATTTATTCCAATAAAAGTGTTAACATGGTGAGAGGGGAGAGTTAAGTATTAGATATCCTGCTCTGATCAAAAATTAAGTTAGGTTTTTAGCCACTGGGATATAACAATAAGCCTCACATTTCTTTTAATACATTGTGATGCACCTATTAGAATAAACATGTTACTGTTCACCTCTATTATAAATCTTACTGAGACTTAAATAAAATATGCACTTTTAAAGAAAGATTAGTTAACATTCTTGCCATGTGATTTACATATTTCTAAGGATTCAGTGTCTTTCAAAACTTTTCGTTCCTTTCAATCACTGTTCATTTATAATTGGAGCACTAACCAGAGCTTCAGAATAATGTAATGGTGCTATAAATGTCTCATATTTGAAACCGCTGATAGTGCTCCATTCATGGAGACATAGGAAGAGTTAAAACAGTGATTATTCTTGTTTCCTGACTCATATAAGAGTTTCAAACCATTTAGTTGTTCAGCAAAGTACTGGCCCATGCCTACATACTTAAGTCTGAAAATATCAAGTTTGATAATGTGAATGTATATTGATACATATGGTATTTAATATACTAAAAGCAGACAGTCTGATCAAAGGAAAATAATAGCAATAGTTGGTGTGTCTATGTATTTAAAGAGAATAGGCAATTTTCCAGTACCTTCACTGTTCAAACATTAATATAGTAAGACCAGAATTGATAGTGCTTACACTGATTTACATTAATACATGTATGTATCCAAAATATTTAAAATTCTACCCATTCTTTGAGATTTGTCATATAATTTATCATATTTTGATATCTCATGTTATACTTTTATTGCTCCAGATAATCTAATTTCTTGAGTTACTCGGCATTTGCAGTTTATTTATCTTCTCATTTCTCACTGCTATTTTTGTTACTTTTTTAATCTTACTACACATTCCAAAATAATCATAGTAAGTATTATAACTGTAATGTGTGTATGCTCTGTGACAGCAAAGACTGCTTCCTAGTATTACAGACAAATAATAAAATGATTGAAAACTCAGTTATGGAGATTGTTTCACAACTCAGGAGTTTTAATGAAGACTTTATTGTTCCATATTTCCCAAAAACCTCCATTGCTGTTGGGCCAAGAGTGTGCTGTTGGATTTGAAGTAGTAGACTTCGCTAAACAGCTGTATAACGTCTTAGTTAATCAACTGTGTCAGAATTATAATATGTTTTCTGTATCCAATTTCTTATGGCTAGGACTCAGGAAATATTACTGAACTGTACTTGAATCCTTTGATTGAGTCCTGTCAAATAAGATAGTTGAGATCTTTTTATATAATTCATTTCCAGTAAGGCCTGGACGGTTGAATTGTAATCCAGCCACTGCATTATAGCAATCAAAATGTTTTTTTTATGACAGTACTCCACAAATAGGCTGTAACTTTTAAAAATACTTAACCACATGGATACCCAAAATTGTGATGACAATTTTGGCTGATACTGGTGGATAAAGTTTCTGCTTGATTGTGGATATCACTCTGATAAATATTTCTATTTATTTTTATTATTACTATGTATTGGGTCCAAATTGGGTCTTACTTAAAATAAATATTGAAATCAGTGGACTGAATAATCAAGTCTGAGTCCTTATACAAAATAAATAATATTGCATTTCTTTCTGGATTTAACAATAGGTCATAGAACAATATAAAATTAACATGAAAATTGTAATTTATCCATTGCAGCTCTTGTGCAGAGTAATATTTGTTTATTGAAAAAACAACTAATCTAAGTGAGAGGAAAAGCTGCTTGTCCTACCATTCAAATATTCTTTCATAAGATCCATAAAAAAACAGATGTATTTATTTTTATGCTTTCATTTCCATTAAAATATTGTTTATTAAAGTGACAACAAAAGAAAGGACAAATTTTTGAATTATTATAATTCCAATGATTCAGTTTTGTAAAATACATATTTAAGACACATTATGTTTTCTTGCATATCTGTTGAGATGAGACAAGATGTAAGCTTCTCAGTGCTGCTTGATAATTGCTGTTGTTTTGTTTTATGTTTTCTTAATTGAAGCTCTTCACAGAGTGGTCATTTTTTTCAGTTCTTTAAGCTGGACTTGGGAAATATCGAGGTTAAGGACTTTAGTTACTGAGTAGTTGGAGCTTACTGCAAATCTGCTGCACCAGCTAAGACTTAATAGTCATGAGAATTTTATCTTCCCAAATGCTTGTTAAAATATTAAATCTGAGGCTCTTTCACAAGATTCCCAAGTCCATTAGAACTTAGGTTGATTCTAAGAACCAGTGTTATATTAGTAATGTATTATATGCATAATCTCTGTGTGACCTAATTCTTCAGAATGGTTTAGATTACACATCTAACACACAAATAATTAGTTATATACCTCATGCTATGCATCACCTAGTGCTATGCATGCATCTAATGGTACAGTATATGCAGTTTCCTAAATAATAACCATTACTAGCTCAGCCAGATATGAAAGTGTGTTCCATTTGTGAATTTGGTAGGAATTTTAATAGCAGAAATCTTAATTGGATGTTGTAAACATTATTATAAATCTGTCCTTTCAAACTTTGTGCCCTTCAAATGTATCTAAGTGTAGTATCCTTCTCTAAATAACTCAGACTATATTGAAAAAATACCTAGAAATAATCAGATTTGGGAAAGGTGCTATATCCATTTAATTTCTTCACCAGAAACTGAGTGTTGAGTTTTACATGAAATGTTGCTGGATACATTGGTTAGTTTTTTTAATTAACATTTTCTTTTATTCTCTGATATAATATTGTCACTTACATACAAGTACTATGTTTGAACTAACAAAAGATACATTTGGATATGCCTAACTTTTCAGTCTAGAGCAGCACTCAAGAAATAGGTTTGTGAGATCATTGAGAGTTTTAAGAAAATACAGCTAGACTCAGATAGGAAAGAACTTTCCAGAATGGAATGGAACCTAAAACTATGCACTTAAATATCAAGACAGCAATTTAGACTTTTATTCTTACTAAAAGGAAATTGTCATATGGTACTATGTTTAAAAATGCTGGTTTCTTGCTTTGGTTATTTGTTTTTTGGATGTCCTCTTTTCATTTTCTTAAAAATCTGTGTTTCTCTTCTTGTAATAGATGTGCCTTATTCTTAATTAATCTGTTTGTTTTTTTAAAAAAGTTGGGGGACCAAAAAATAGTGCCAAACTTTAACTGTAAAGCTTTGCTTTCCATAATACCTTTACTGCTTTTAAGAAAACAGTCTGAATACTGACCTGTGACTCTTTGGCATTCATGTGTCATTATCTATGTAGGATTTGAATATCTTTTTTTTGGGGGGGGGACTTGTCAATTTTCAGATGTGTAAGATAGAAGTGTATGTTAGGGTGGTATTTTCTTTTTTTACTTTTATAAGTGTATTCTTTTTTTAAAAAAATCAATGTGTAAAATACATTTACATATAGTAAGAATAGCATTAAATGTAGAAGATCTTAGTAGTCTTCATATGATAAATTGATCTAGTGTTCTTGGAGCCTTAGATCAGCCTAAACAGTCATAATGTGGTGTTCAAAGGTTTTCAAACACTATTTAGTTATTTTGTAATGAGGAGTAAAATGTTTCTTACAATGTCAATAAAACATTTGTACTTAAGATTTCATCTTGAATGTTTATTTCAAAAACTAGGGGCAAGTCTTAAGCTATATTATAATTAACATAATACCTTACTGCTTTTCTTTCTGAAGGAAGGAAATGCCTTGATCCTCAACATAAGCTAACAACAGAGATGATTTTCCTACATCTTGAACCATAATCTGGGAAAATAATTGTGATGATGAAGGAAAACCCATCCTGTGGAATAATCACATAGCCTTAGTAATTTTGACTCATGTGGCCAAAGAACAGCAACTCTTTTTGAGGAGGTAAAAACAAAAGCATCAGTGTTGGAATGTAAAAATCATTTTAATTAAAAATGAGAAAAAATAAAAATAAAAAGTTATTTAAAAGTATGTAGCCAAATGCCAACACAATTACCATAGAGTGAAATAAAATAGTGGCTTATAAATCAAATCAATCTATGGGCCAGCAAATAAAACACAAGAGTCACAATTAATTAAGATAAAAAGAAAGCTATAAGTCTAAAATATCTGAAAAATATTAGAATTAATACTATGGACTACT